GATGAGTAACATGCGCCAGAATTAACGCATGTTACAGAAGCGTAACATGCGCCCAAATTAGCGCATGTTATGAATGAGTAACATGCGCCAGAATTAACGCATATTACCCATCCGTAACATGCGTCTGAATCACTGCATGTTACAGATAGGTAACATGCGCCCAATTTATCGCATGTTACAGATGAATAACATGCATCTGAATTACCGCATGTTACATCTGGGTAATATGTACAGTAATTAGCGCATGTAACGTGTTCCAAAATTAACATGCCAAAATTGCGCATGTCAGGCCAGAATTAAAAATCGGGTCACGTGACATTAAATTATGGCCCATGGGCCGCCCATATAAGGTTATAACCTATGCATTTGTGACATAAATCGTAAGGTTATAACCTTTGATGATCACCCGAATGGGGTGAATTGGACATACTGTAGTTATTGGATCTTCCAATGGAAGCTTCCAATCGGTTTATTACCAAAATTGGCAATCGTATATGTGATTAAAATATTTATAGTTAAACGGTTAGATGTTTGATAACTGATTTACACTTTTGCGTCTTTAAAAAAAATGAAAAGATCTAGACTAACTCATCACCTTACTAAATATATAAAAACAAAATTCATGCAGCAATTGCAGCATGTATTGCATGTGTTGAAAAGCTAGAAAATAAGGAAAGTCAAAAATGTCAAAATAATAATAATTTTGGTGAGAATAATCATAAAAAAGATTTTGAAATATCTAAGATATATGTAGAAAGTTTTATTTAAAGTTAACAGAAGAAGCTTCGGTCAAATCATATTCTTCAATATCAAAATTATCTACGCGTAACCATCACTCAAAAAAAAAAAAAAATTCAATTGAAGGCGATCTTATTCGTAAACTGAGTAAAAAAGAAATACCAAAATTTGAACATCTTCTATTAAGAATGTCAGTAGCAAATGGCTTTCCATTTTAATGGGCTAATCATCCAGCAACTTTAGAATTTTTTGAATATTTAAGCCCATTTCTTGTTTTACCAAAAAAGAAAAGCTTTATCTAACCGCATATTAAACAGATAAACTAAAGATTTAAATACTTTTAGAGATGAAAAATTAATCAATGATCAAATTGGTGATATTAGCGTTTGATGGATGGAAAAATGTTTTAAATCAACATATTTTTGGATCATTGTTTATAACTTCTTCTAGCGAATTTTGATATGGGATGCTTCAGATATAAGCAATGAACGTGAACGGTTAATTGAAGTTATGCCAAAAAGATTCAAGAAATCAGTAGGTTAACTGAAATATTAAACTTAATGCAAATAGTATCTGATAGTGCATCAGCTTATGCAGCAGCTTGGTACTAAGTAAGTAGTTAAATATTTTAATCTAGTAATAAACAATACATTATTAAATTTTAATTTTAATTATATTTAACATTTAATTATACTGTAATAGGCAGCGTCTTCGATTAGAATTTCCAGAAATTGTATTTCTTCCTTGCTTTACGCACAATGTCAGTTAGCAATTAGTGCCATTTTTAAAGAATCTTCGGCTTTAAAAATTACCTCCAGTAATGATATTATAGTTGCGGCTTACTTTAAAAATGCAAACAATAGTTATTTTATTATTAAGTTGATCTAAACAAGCTTTACTAGTAAGTATACTCTTTTTATTTTTATATAATTACTTAATATAATTAATTTTTTTATTTTCATAGAATTTAGCAATTTGTCATGACGTCCACAAGTTGGTTCATCAAACACCGATAAACTTTGTCTGAGATCGATCGACTAGAAAAGAGATGGGATCAATGGGTGCAACTGTTATTACACTCTCTTTTATGCTTCATCCAAAATGTCTAGAATATTTTAATTCTGATCTTAATAATTTTTCATATACTTCTTTGGGATGGTATTAAACGTATTATTAAGACCAAAGCGATTGTTGTTGGAGTTCGAAGATTTTTGTAGAAAAGTTGAACCATTTAATGATGAAACTTTTGAACAATTCGGAGATGAAGTCTTTAAATTTTGATCTTTTATAGAAGGTACTTATAGCGAACTGGATGCAGTTGCTTTAAAAATTTTTGGAATATGTGTGAATGCAGCTTCAGTTGAGAGAATGTGGTCATCTATGGGTTTTTTACATACAGTTCGTCATAATCGATTAATGGTAAGTTAATATTTTATTTTTAATTATTTTTTAACCGTATTTTTATTATTTTAACTAACAAATTTTTTATTTTTATTATTTTTAACCTTTATTCTTACTTAATAAACGGAATTTGACGAACAAATGGAATTTTTTATTTTTAACGATTGAAATCAAGGAATGAAATTTTTATTGTTAAATTAATGAATGGTATCAATCGCAATGATCAGGATTTAATGATCGGGAATTTTTTTATCTTTAACGACTGGAAGTAATTTTTTTATCTTTTTAATAAATGGGATTAATAATCAACTTAATAAATGAGATTTTTATTGAATTTATTTATTAAATGGTTTTTAATAGAATAATAAAGTGTTGGGAATGAGTCAACTTCGTGCATTTATTAATTTTTCATTAAGAGAAAAGGAATTGAAGTTGAAGATCCTGAAGTGAATATTCTGAAATTCCTGAAGATATTGAAAATATTGAAGATAATACTAATATTGTTAATTCGGAGTATTGTGAGTAAGAATTGAATGAATGGGATGAGACTTTAATAGAAGAAGTAGTAGCACGAATGGAGGAGGAAGAGGCATCGAGAGAAAATTCAAATAGTAATTTGGAAGGTGATCTTTTAAGTGAATATACACATCCAGCAATAGATAAAAGAGCAAGATGGGAGCTCAGAGTTCATCTTTAAATGGGTTTTCGAATTAGCGTGATCAGATGATTTGTTAATCAATTATAACAAAAAACCGAAAATAACCGAATATAACCGAAACCCCCATACAAATTATATTCAAAAAGTTATTCCAAATAATTAATGGTCAATTATTTTTGTTCTGGTCACTTTTTAATATGGTAACCACTAATGTAATAATAAGAATTACATGAAATGAAATTGAAATCGATTATAGAAATCGATTATAGAAATCATAGGAATCGAAACTACCAAGTTATATATTGCTAGCGAAAATACGAAAAAAACGGCAAAAAATATTTTGAACAATGATACTTAGCATTGTGTAGATCTTATAGTTTATATGTCCACATGATCACTTTTTGTAATAATTCCGCAGCTGATATTTAAAACACTAAAAGATTTGTTGGTTGCCGATCGTACTAAAATAGAAAAGCTTGATTTGAAATGTATTTATATAATCAGCAAATCAATACCAAAGATGGGGGATCAGCATCTTAAAATGGAAATCACTCAAAAACTAATCTTATGTTAACGTTAAGTTAACGTTAACCTATCATGACATGTCAATCATTTCAAGTCATAACAATAACGTGACGCGCCACCCGCCCACCCATAGGGTGATATTGCACTTATATAGAATGATCTTTCTTGCTTAATAATTATGGGATAAAATTTTTAGCAAATCATGTGAAAACTGAATAATTTTTTTGTTAGCCAAAAATGATCAACAACCGGATGACAAATTTTAATATTATGTAAATAAACAATTTGTTTGTATTATTACTTATTTAAATATAGATACATTTTTTTTTTTTATTTTGAACAAAAAAATAAACAATAATCAAATGGTAAATTTTCATTATCGTCATCATTACATTATCGTTATAATTAAAGTTGCCTGCCGAAATTAGGGAGTTTCGGCATGTCAAAATTGTCAAAACTATTTTGACATGTCAAAATTG